CTCGACTATCAACTTACCTCACTCAAAAAATTTTGGATGCTTAATTTAAACTTGGGATAATTTCAGAAACCTCCCTCGAGGTTTCGACCAATTTCAGAGAGCTCTCCTTAAATTTTAAAAATTACACCCACCATCCTTGCTTTCACTATTTATGCTTCAAAATAGACCCAATAGCCTACATTTTCCTTCATATATTCTAAACTACCCTTTCTGCCAAAAAAAAAAAAGAAAAGGAAAAAGATTTTTGCTGATCGTCTTTACTAATTGCCTTCTTTGTTGACGGTCTTCTTCCAAGCAAGACTATCAAAAGCCAAGAAATCCTCTCTACCAAAAATTTTGATGATTGCCTTTTCTTGGCAACACCATCAGAAAAGCCAGGCAAACATCCCAAGCTGAATCAAAAGCAATTCCAACAATTGTGGGCATGCAAAACATCGCAGTCCAATTTACTTTCGGCAGCCTAGGCTAATTCTTACACTCTATCCAGCCCCAACGCTTTCTCTACAAGGTCAATATACCCGCCTCTTATTATTAAATTGATAAAACTCAACCAATACTCCATCAACCGCTAATGGTAGTGACGAGAAATTGTTGATTTTGAATAATTTGATTGAAAAAACATTAAGGAGGCTGCCACTTGTTAGGAATAAGGTCAGAGATTAGATTAGTAATAAAATGTGGAGTTCAATCATTGTTACAATATTTTTTGAAATGGTATGTCTAATGATGAGTGCTCATTGGGTACTCAATATATATTATATTAACAATTAATACATTTTCTTGTATTTATAGAACTTCTCTAATAATCTTATCTTTTCAGAAATCTAACACATGAAGTACATCTCATTGAGTACTATTATGGGTGCCCATTGGGCACTTACTTTAGGTGTTAGACTTCTGAAAAGGTATGATTAATTGGAGAAATTCTATAAATGCGTAGCAAGGTATTAGTTGTTAATATATGTATATATATGATTGGTTAGATGAAATTTAGGTGTGTTAACAAATGACTATTGGCCACCTGTTAGAAAAACCTTTTTTGAAAAATAGGTTATTTGATCAAAAGACCCGTACAATCTATGTATATGTATTGCAAAGAGGATTTTTAAACTAGGCTTCTCATTGAACCTCTAACTTTCCATGCTCTTTTTTTTTAATTTTGATTTATTTTAATAATTAGAATTACTTTTAGGCATATGGAATCGATATGAACATAAATATATCACGTAAGGCTGGGAATAGGGATGGCAATGGGGGCGGGTGCCCGCGCGGGGGGTTAATGGGGAGGGTGTTGGGGTGGGGGCCGGGGGAATATTTTCCCCCCTGCTTAGAAATAGGGCGGGGGGCGGGGGAGTGTACCCTCGCCCCATCCCCCGCCCCGCCACCCACTTTAAAAAAATAATATATAAAATAAATAAATATATAATTATATATATTATATATAATTTAATTAGTTACAAACTTATTATAATAATATTATTAGTTATATGTATTATATAATGTCTATTAGTATATATAATATAATTGATATTATTAATTATACTAATAATTATATATGTGTACTAATACAAATTATTAATTGGTTATACTAAATTTACTAATACATTTATACTAAATCCCTAATTACACTTAATACAATAATATTTTTTTCTTAAAAAAAGCACAAGCACAATAATGAATTAGTGATTGTATTTGTGCCAAAAGTGAAAACTTGACTACTTTAGTTATATTTATTTCATCATGTTGGATTGTATTCAAATATTTTTTGTTTGATTGTTTATATAAGTTTCAATTGTAAAATTATAATTAATAATAATTTGATGATGTGTTAATATTTTAGTACTTGATTATTTGCTAAAATTTAATCATAATAAAATTATATAACAAATTTTTATTAGCCCCGCGGGAGAAGCGGGACGGGGCAGGGCGGGAGGAGCGGGGGACGGGAGATGGGTCGGGGGCGGGGGAGTTTGTAGGCAGCGGGGCGGGGGATGGGGGAGAGGTCTCCCGCCCCAACCCCGCCCCGTTGCCATCCCTAGCTGGGAAAGTCTTAGCTATCACAATCCACTTAAATGTTCTAATGTTATCTAATATAAACCCAAAACATCTTTACTATACTAAAGGTGGGAGTTTGGGTTGCTACAGTAAAATTGGGCTGGTTATAGTGTGATTGTGGTGACTTTGAGGGATATGTTGGTCGTTTGTCATTCGGTGACTTTTATATATTTAGCCGCATATAGGCTGCTCGTATCACGGGCACCTGTACTGCATCGTGCATGGTTTATAAGCTACGTGTAATCTTTTGTTCCCACTGCACACTATTCTATGATTTGCTGGAAATTTGCTCCTGTCCGCGTGTTCCTTGCGGTACACTTGTGTATCTACTGGCCTGTAGAAATCTCAGCTCTGAAGATAAATAACTCTAAAGATAGGCCGTGCATGTATTGGGTTTTCCTGACTGCATCATGCATGGTTTATAAGCTACGTGTAATCTTTTGTTTCCACTGCACACTGTTCTATGATTTGCTGGAAATTTGCTTCTGTCCGCGTGTTCCTTGCGCTGCACTTGTGTATCCACTGGCCTGTAGAAATCTCAGCTCTGAAGATAAATAACTCTAGAGATATGCCATGCATGTATTGGGTTTTCCTGATTTTTTACGCACCATTCTGTGCTTAAATCTTTCCGACTTTTTCGTATTTCTTTTTCGCTCACAGGCAACCCTTTTTCCCAGTCGAAAGCTTCCATTGTCTGATTTTGCGAGGTGAGGTCTGTGGTTTATTTCTACCTTTCCGTGGTTTTGTTGTTGTACTGAAAGGCTTAATGAGTTGAAGTGTTTGCGTGATTTTTTACGCACCATTCTGTGCTTAAATCTTTCCCACTTTTTCGTATTTCTTTTTCGTTCACAGGCAACCCTTTTTCCCAGTCGAAAGCTTCCATTGTCTGATTTTGCGAGGTGAGCTCTGTGGTTTATTTCTACCTTTCCGTGGTTTTGTTGTTGTACTGAGAGGCTTGATGAGTTGAAGTGTTTACATGATGATAATAGTTCCGTGCACCATGTTCATGAATATGTTATGGATTCTTGCTGGCATATTAGACGTTCATAATTATATCATTTGCTTTTTCTTGCGGTACACTTGTGTATTCACTAGCTTGTGGAAATCTCAGCTCTGGAGATAAATAACTTTAAAGATATGCCGTGCATGCATTGGGTTTTCCTGATTTTTTAAGCACCATTCTGTGCTTGAACCTTTGTCGACTTTTCGTATCCGCCTGGTTTATGAACTACGTGTAGTTTTCTCTTTTCACGGCACGCTATTCTATCATTTGCTTCTTCTTGCTTCTATCCTATACAAAGCCTGCTCTAGATCCTTTAGCTCACGCTAGCGTTCTTTGGTAGCTGCAAGAGTGAGTCCTTCATTGTTGTTCCCTTGTAGTTTTACTTCTTTTTCCTTGCTCTAACTTTACCCACAATTCGGTCTATCGTTTGCATTTTCTTACTGCCATGGTATACAGAGCCTTCTCTGGATTCTTTAGCTGACTCCGGCGTTCTGTGGTAGCTGCAAGAGTGAGTCCTTGCCACTTTTTCGTATGTTTTTCCTTTTTCTCAGAGACAGCCTCTTTTTCAATTGAAAACTTCCATTATCTGATTGTGCAATGTGAGCTCTGTGCTTTATTTCAGCCTTTCCCTGGTTTGGTCCTTGTAATCAAGGGCTTAATAAGCCGTTCACGTGAGTGTCTGGATTCTTTAGCTGACGCCAACGTGTTGTGTTAGCTACAAGAGTGAGTCCTTGCCACTTTTTTGTGTGTTTTTTCTTTTTCTCGGAAATAGCTTCTATTTCCAATTAGAAATCGAGTTTTGTCCTTTATTTCTGCCTTTATGTGGTTTTGTCCTTGTAATCAAAGGCTTAATAAGTCGTTCGGGTGGGCATAGTAGTTCGGTGAATCAAAAGTTATAGTCATACTCTTATTGAAACCTTCTTACTTGTGTATAGCGTTTGTTTCATGGGCCGTCGGCGGAAATATGTGAGCTTGGAAGAAGCAAATAGAGAGAGGAATGCAAAGAGACGGCAGCGACGTGCCAATGCGAGTGCTAATGACAATTCTGGCAAATACCAAGGTGTGTATGCTATGGTTACGAATGCACGTAGCATATGTGAGCTGTGCACAATAAGAACACTGTGTTATGTCAATTCATGTATTAGTTGCCCTGGTGTATTTAGCAGGGATTACTCTTTTTTGATAATGCTTCGATTCTAGCTGATTTGTCGAGGTTTGATAAAGTTATGATTGGTATGAGAAATGCTAGGTTTTAGAGGTATTAATTGTGCTGATACAAGGATCAATGAAATATTTATTCCACTAAACAGGTACTGCTGCTACAATGGGATTTTCTGTATTTATCGAACAACCTTCCGATGGCCATTCAGCTGTGGAATTGAGATATAAGGGTAAGGTTAGTATAGAGACTGAAGGAGTAAACAATCAAGATGAACAACATGTTACAACGATCTGTTCGCATTCAAAAGGTGGTTCTATCGGTCATGCAAGTAGCAATAGAACAACAGGAGATTGTGCAAAAACAGCAGTTAGAGGAATGCATGAATGTACAGAAGAAACGCGCGTAGACCCAATAGTTTTAGCATCGACTTCTAACAATAGTGTTGCTGGTTATTCAATGGATGCATGCTCAGTGCCTATCATTGCCGATAGTAGTGTTTTGTCTACGCCACCGGGCAAGAAGTGCAGATCAGTTCCACGGGGTGATGCAAGGCAGAAGCGGCGTAAGATGTTAGCAACGGATCCATTGAGCATCATTGTCACCGAACCTGATATATTACCGGATATTCCGGATTGCCAGCATTGTAAAGCTTCTTTGTCACCCACTCAGCAGCAAAGTTTATCTTTTTCCCATTTTGGCAACATGGGCTGTTCGAGAGCTGTATTTTTGGATTGTGTTCTTTTGACGTGGTGGCTTTGTCTGTCTTTAGCAGCAGCAGCAGAACAAGTTAAGGTGAAAGTGAAAGGAGTTACCTCCATTGCCAAGACTGATGGCAACTTCATTTGTGCTACTTTAGATTGGTGGCCTGAAGACAAATGTGATTATAATCAATGCCCGTGGGGAAAGGCTGGAATCCTCAATTTGGTATAAATCATCATGTTTTAAGCTATCATTCCTTGATGGTTTAAATGCAAAAGAAATTTTAAGAATCCACTTACTAATGGGTTTATGACAAGTTTGCAGGATTTGAAGAACAAGATTCTGGCCAATGCAATAAAAGGTTGGTATGGGTTGCTTTGAATCTGCTTAAACCTGGAGCAAATGAAAGTTGAGATGCTGATCAACTCCGTGTCTAAATTTCTGCAATTCTTTGGCTTGACAAAAATTGAACTGGAAAAAAGAATGAAAAAATTAAAAAGGATGGCAGAAGTCTGAAATGAGAAAATTTACTCCATAAAATAGCGTCTAGCTTAATGTTAGTTTAGGAAACAATTCTACAAGAACTGAGAAGCTATAATTAGATTCTTGTGTCTGTTCCATGATTATTTGTTCTCCATAGTTCTTGCATAGTTTCTATGCTGTATTTTTTTTTTTTGGGAGTAACTCGTAGAAAAGATGGTGGAGCTGTAAATTTATGTGATTAATTTGAAGATGTCGTGGAGAACAAATGAAGGAAAATTGTTGGCATTTGTTCCCTGAATACTGCTTAGGTACATTAGTAGAGGGCAGACAATATCCATGTTTCTGTAGCAAGTAAGTGCTCAAAGACCTTTCATTATGCAAATTGCAGCATTTAATCCTCTTCGGATCAGAATTGGAGGTTCCTTAGAAGATCAAGTCGTCTATAAGGTTGGAACAATGAAGATATGCCCACGTTTTCAGAAACGTAAAGATGGACTGTTTGGATTTAGCAGAGGTTGCCTTCCGATGAAAAGATGGGATGAACTTAATGCTTTGTTCAACAAAACAGGGTATGTTTGTCTGTTTTAACGTATGTTAACACTGTTTCTTGGTATGATAAACAGTCAAAACAAAGAAAAGCTCAAACAGATTCTAATTGATATTTGTTTTGCACAGGCCTTTGGTAACATTTAGCTTGAATGCCCTTATTGGAAGGCAAAACCCAGTAGGCGGTGATACTCTTTGGGCAGGAGATTGGAATGCCCAAAACGCCCGTGATTTTATCAACTATACGATCTTCAAGGGATACAAGATCGATTCTTGGGAACTCGGTAACTTACATTGTGATGCCAATTAAGCCAATGAAACAGACTGGTGTCAATTATTTTTAGTTCTTGTTTTTGCTTGCTCATGGATTGGAACTTGAATTCCCCCATGTAATGAGCATGCCGAATAAGACTTTTTTCTACCACCACAACCCGAATAACCCAGGCATAGATTTTTTCATTTAATTGACTAATAGACACATGATTCATCTCCATAATAATGCAAAAAAAAAAATTACAAACTTACGAACCACTACTCCAAAACTCCTATATCAAAACAATTCTTTTATAAATATACTACTATAACACTCGTAAACTCCTACCAGCTACTAGAAAAACTTATCATCAAAAATACTTGAGAAGAAGATGAACAACCATGCACCACACACCATTTAACAAGACATTCCACATTCTTATGGAACAAAACCTCCACTTATTTTTTTTTTTTTTTAACACAGGGGTGTCCGGATCAATTCTTACAGAGCCCGACTAATCCCCTGCGGCCCGGGAGAGGAGGCCTCAAAACCTCCACTCTGATTCATAAAAAAACACACAACATAATAGTTGTCACACGACTACAAACCAAACTGCTAAGTGTCAACTTCAATGCAAATATATGGCACCCATGCATGCACAAACAACACCAATCCTGCCACCGCGCACAAAAACTTGACACGGTTCATCACATTTTGACAACGCAAATATTTAACACTAAACTACCTGCCATCAATTAAATTAGATTAACACAAGTTGGGGCAACCTCGCGCGTAGCGCGAGGCATAAAAAACTAGTAAGTCTAAAAGTTGACTCTTCCAAACATAGGATGCCATGAATAGGAAAGAAATATTAGTTGTCTATGATTTCCAATCTATACTTCATTTATTATTAACAATTCCGTAATAAAATATGACCGTCTTTAAAATTGGATAGTTTTACAAAACTTATAGCTAACAATTAAACCTTATAAATCTCATAATAAGGAAACCCCTCTCAATTTCTTTAGTTTTTCTTTAAATGACCTTAACTCTTTAGTTTTGGGTTGTAATAAATAAGATTATGTTGGGATAGAGAAGTAAAAAGGAAAATTCGATATTATGCTCTAGGGTTTTTCATCTATTGATTTTTTTTGGAATAAAATTTGAGTTAAATTTGAATTTCTTGACTATCATATGTTTATTAACACATGATTTTGTAAAGCAAAATCATTTGTTTTGAGACTTTTATATGATCAATAGAACATTTTCCTATGTGTAGTATCAAAAAAAAAAAAAGAATAGAAGATAAAAATATTATAATAAAAGAAAAATGGAAAGAATTTCATGTCTTATTGTAGGATAAGAAACAAATAAAATGTTTAATTTAATTACACAAATTAAAAGATATCAAGACACATATAATTATTTGTGATCCGTTTTAGCAAATTACTAATAGATTATTGAAATTGTCATATAAAGAATCCCGAATCATGGAGTAAGGGTGAGAATTGAGAAATACACATTGTAGTATAGGGAAGTCGGATTCTTAGGAGAATATTAGACAAAATATAATATCAAATTTTCTTTTTTATCGTGAGTTTTTATCCTTTGTTGGGATATAGAGAAATTAGCCCTATACCCTTCGTTATTCAGTTATAAAACAACTATAACAGTCAACTATTCATCCATATATGGTGTATCTTTTATTTATTAGTCACCATTAATTCTGTACGTTTATTTTTATTCCTTTTCCTTTTTTGTCTTACGTCTTTATAATTATATCACATGCTCACAATGATTTTTTTGAAATATCACCACTCATAATAGGGGTAAACTTTAAGGTGAATTAATTTTGTCGATACCAACTTAAAAAAATAAGGATGCATTTGATTGGTTGGTTCTAGAAGTGTTTTTAAGAAGTTTTTAACAAATATTTTTGAATGACTATCTATAACAAACTCTAAAAATAGTAGAATTTCATGAAAGCTATAAAACCCAAACTCGATCAATTTTTTGCATGGATTTCGACGGGTGGAGGAGTGCCATTACAAGTAAGAGAAGGATAATGCAAGAAGGGAAATAATAGAGGGAAGGGAGATGGGGCTGAGACGGTGGGGTTGAGGGTAAAGGGGAAGGGAGGGAAGAGCGGCCATAGGGTGAGAGGGGTACAAGAGAGGAAAAGGTGACAATATGTTCATTTGCTGTAATTTTTGGATTTTTTTGGTATTAACGTCTTGAATATTTTTACTAAGAATTAGTTATTTAACAATAATACACTATTCTTAGGATAAAATATGATGAAGAGAGAAATTTTTTAGATTGGGATTAATAATAGGCAATTACAAAAAAATATCTGACAACTGAATACAATTTTCTTATTAAATTTATAATTTTGTCAAGTTGATGAGCTAGGCCATTGCCTATATCCTATGATTGCGATTTTTTTTCCTTTGCTTTTATTAAAAATTTGATAGAAATTGACATCAATTTAACTTCAACCTTTTTTAATTATTTTTTTACAAAATAATATTATTTTTTATAAAAAATGTAAACTCATGTATAGCACGGATAAGAATACTAGTCAATTACTATTCTTAAATAGGCTAAAACAAGAACCTTGCCAAGCCCTTTTAAAAAAAAAAAAATCCTGCCATACCCAATTTGATGCCATAAACTTGACAGAAGAGAAGATTGTAATAGCACTCCTTGATCATTGAGTCGACTCTAGTGGTTCCCTATCAGATCCTGAACGATTAGCTATATGAAATTATGCTTAACATACATGTTTCTTTTTAAAGGTTTTTTTTTTTTTCCTCGAGGTGACAAGAACACACGCACACAGTTAGTTTCTTTTTAAAGGTTGCTTAACAAACTTTTCACTATAAGCCAAGTTTCTTTCAAGTCACAAGAAGAGGCTTTCTTTTAGTTTGACAAGACATCGAGAATAATCTTTCTATATATAAAGCATGAGGAGAGGGTTTGGTGTTAATGTTTTGTGTTATTTTTTGAATTTTGAATTTTATCCTTATAACAAGTAAAGATTTACTGACAATGATTACTCAATTTAGTAATCCAATAACTTCTGCACCAAGTAACTTCCATTCATTTTTTATTTGTTTGTCTTTTTTGCCAAAAAAAATAATAACTTCTATTTTTTTTTTTTGGTAAATAAAGATGCATTAAAAATAAATCAAGTCAACAGAGTGTAAATTAAGGTACAGTCATCCGTGGGGTGGAAACCCCCTTTAAGTCTTGCAAAAGTAAGGGAAGTACAAAATTAGGACATAATTCAAAAAAAGTGAAGTCTTGAGTGTTGCTTCTTCCCCAGTTGGCAAGGATGTCTGCACATTTGTTTGCTTCTCTATAATTATGGTGAAAACATACTTTCTGGAATGTAGTCAATAGCTCCCTGCAATCAAGAATAATAGGTGCAAGTTCATGAGAAATAAGATTATTTGATTTACACAAGGAGAATATAAAGGCAGAGTCCATCTCCACTTCGAGAGAGTGGATGTTGAGTTTTTTTGCAAGTTGTAAGCCTTCTCTAAGAGCCCAACATTCAGCAGAAGGAACTGAACAGAAGCCTAAATTTCTTGCAAAGCCCGCAATCCATATCCCATTTGAGTCACGAATTATGCCGCCAGCTCCTGCCTGGTTTGTTGGTCCAGAGACTGAACCATCAGTGTTGAGCTTGGCGAAACCTATAGCAGGGGGGATCCATCTGATGAATTTTTCTTGTCTAGGGGATTTGGAGATGTGAGAACCAGGCCCTAGTAGGTAAAATTCATGAGCATGGTGTAGACAAAACTTGATAGGATCATCAATTTTGTTTTTTTGAAAGATCTTGGCATTGCGAGCTTGCCAGAGGCTCCAACAACCAAAGCTAAAGATGGTTCCCCAAGGAATAAGGTTGAAAGGGGAAGGAATGTTGGACGAGCATCCATCCTTGATCCAGGAATAGAAATCCGAGCTGGTTTGGAGGGAGTTTTGGGAGGGATGGGTGAGTTTAAGCCAGAAGGAGGTTGCTTGGGGACAAGATCTTAGTACGTGATTCGAATCTTCAGAAGGAGCTTGACAAAAAGGGCAAGAGGCTTCGGAAAGAATTGTGCGATGTGTGAGAAGACTTTTTGAAGGGAGTCTATCCTGGGATGCAAGCCAAAGGAAATGTTTGACTTTTGAGGAGGTATTAACTTTCCAAATCCAGCGGAAGTGGCATGGAGCTCTAGAATCAACTGGAAATAAGGGAGGATTTTTACAAAGGTTATAAGCAGATTTCGAGTTGAAAACCCCATTGCTGGAGTAATTCCACCTAAAGAAATCATGGGACGGATTGAGCTCTTGTCTTGGTGTACCCTTGATCTCCTTCACGAGCTGGAGAGGAAGCTGGAAGGATATTCTATCAAGGTTCCAACTGGTAGGGGAGTGAAAAAGTTGAAAAACTCTTAAGTCCTCTTCCCCCTCAGTTAGAGGTCCTTGGATCTGGCTTCTGATAGAGCCTGATTGAAGCCATTTATCTCCCCAAAATCTGACTAAATGCCCATCTCTGATAGACCAAATTAAACCTTCATTGAAGGTTTTGATCCCAATGTTGAGGCTTTTTTTATTTATGGAGCCATTTACATTGTTGAGCTGGAGCATATGGGTGTC